GAGAGGAAGTGCCACGTTAACGCTCCAAGCAAAAGCCATTTTATTTCTGTTTTTGAGTTAGTAAAATTCCTTCTGCGGCATCGTCCTCTGAAGGAGGATTTGCAGTACTCTGGCTTTTGCCCCTGCTGCATGTCGGCGTTTTCCTCCTTGTGGGGACCACCGGTGCCTGCCTGCTGCCGAACGGGGCTCTGCAGGGCCTCGCCCACCTCAGGGCAGGGACACCCACCCAGCCGCTCTGCTGCCATCAGGGAGTTTGAAGTTGTCAGCGGTAGTTCCCATCTAGCTTGCTCCCATGAGCCTAAATACACACTTGTTGCGAGAAGCAAGGCCAGGTATTTTGGGGTTAACAGTTGAAGCACGCGTTTATAGGCATTTTATAGTGCTTATGGTAGGGCTAGATAAGCAGCAGCTCGTCCTGACTTCTCCTTCCTGCTTTCCCTCTGTTCTGCTCCCTCTCCTAATCAGGTTTCCTCCTCCTTGCCCCAAGGCAGCCACATCTGCTGTGACCGCTCCGACCGTCCCTCCCGCTGAGGCAGGGCTGGGAAGGTGGGCTCTGCCCGGAGCTGTGAGCTTCGCCTGCAGAGAGGTAATTTCCTTCCGTGCGTCTGTTTCGGGCTCGTCTGTCCGTCTGCTGGCACCAGGGCTGCTCCCGTCCCGAGCTGTACAGGCACCGCTTCTGCTCATCCCTCGTTTCTGGCATGGCAGCAACATTGGTGGCAAGTGGAGATGTCCTTGCCTGTCAAAGACAACATTTTATCCGTGCCCCCTTCTCCCACCCAGGCCATCCCAGGGGAGCTCGTGTCCCAGGATCTCTGTTTGCAAAGCTTGGTAGAACCAGTTATTTTAACTTAAGACTGATCTCTTACGTGCAGCCTCATGGAGACAGTAAATAAAATACGTTCCTAAAGGGTTGCTTCTTCCTTCCACAGATTTTTTATTTTTTTCTGCGGGATGGAAATTATAAAAAGCCATGTGTTGCGTTTGAAGCTGGTTGCTGAGCTTGCCTTGGGAGGGAGTGTGTGGAGGGGCGGAAAGCTGAGGGGTGGCCAAAGCAAGCTGCAGAGCCTAAAGAACAGCTCCTGATGTTGTTTAAGAATTTAATAATGAAAAATCCCCTTTTCAAGCAAGACATGAGTGCCTCCGTGGGCTGTGCCTCGCCTGAAATTTAACCAGGAGTTGTGACTCTCTGGCCCCTTTGCTAATGCATCCCCTGAGCTCCAAACTCTGGGTGGGGGTCAGTGCTACATCTGCCTGCCTGCAGAATTAGCTGCTGTGTAAGTGGGGTTGCAGTGGCTTTTCCTGGGTGATTTGCACCTGAGTCCAGTGTCTGAGACAGTCGTGGGCACCGGGTGCCCCAAATTTAATCGTCTCGAGGTGCTGAGCTGTGCCAGGCAGCTTGGCTGTGCTGCATCTCATGTTTGTCACCACGTCCATGCTGAGGCACATAGTTTTTGTAATAAACGTCAAATATTTTAAGAATATCTTTGTCTTTAGCAGAATTCTCTTTTTGGTGTTCCCTTGTGGGGAGTTCATAACAACTCTTTCATATTATTATTTTTTTAAAATGTATATAACTTTCTAAATACCTTTAGAAATTGAAAACCTGGCCAAAAGCAGCACTGCTGCGGTTTTCCCCGGGCCCGGGGGATGGGGGGGGCCAGCCGGTGCTGTGCTGAGGCTGATAGAAGAGCCTGCGCAGATGCCTCAATGCCCTCCTGCCTGTTCTCACCCTTATCACCGGCTCTAGGAGATTTCCAGGCATTTATTTTTCATTATTGCCTTAAAGCCCTCTTTGGGGAGGCTCCTTTTGCAGCCTCTACTCTGACCATGTCTTTCCTGGGTGCACGCTGATAATCTTGGTCCTTTCTTCCATTTACTGCTGCTTTTTGCTCTTTGGACCGTGGCTGGGTTTGCTGGGCGCCGGGGAGGCGGCACGGGCTGCAGCAGGCTGGGGGCACCCGGGTTAGTGCGGGGCGAGGGGCTGGGAGCCTCCACGGGTCCCTGCGTGGCTTTTCCCGGAGGCTGCAAACAGCAGGGGGGGCT